TGCAGCAAGTGATTTCCAGATTGCATTCTATTTCTATTGTGCACAAAGACAACTTCAAGATGCATAATCAACATGTACAGATGGCGAAAATCCGCATGACAAAGCATATAAAGATACATAAATATTTTTGCAATCGAAACGTCGCTAACACAAGACTTTCAAATGCTTTTTTGAGCTTGGCTGTAAGCTATGGATGTTAAAGTTCAGTCATGTAAGAGGCTTAATATAAGTGCGACGTACGACCAAGTGCTGACGACCTGCGGTGTGACGAACTCAAAGACCAGAACCTGAATTGTTTAGATAAATAAACGGCCCTAAAAAAGAGTGGAAATATAAAACATTTCTCGCGTGAAAACATGCACCGGACCCAGACGAAACATAAAAACACATCGCTTATGCAGATCGGCTAGCGAAATGGAATATGACCTTAGCCGCAGCAGTGAAGATTGCTTCATATCATTTTCAGATACAAGTTATAAAGGTCAGACATGATAAACCTGAGTTACCTCACTGCTCAAACTCTGCTAGTCTTTGATGATAATAACAAAACAACAACAAAGCAAGTGCAACGCTAAAACTTTCAATGTCTATAAAGAACGATAACTGAGATCGATTTGAAACGAAGGCCTGCAATCTGTCGAGAAGCTGACAACAATCATGTAATGATATGCGGCAAGACTATTTCCTTATCACCTGTAAATTACATGATGAACAAAAATGCTACATTAGAGAAACTTTTTTACCTAACAGGGTAAACTGACGATACTTTCAGGTGTTTTGGTTTGCCACTTTCAGCGATTTTTTATCCACTTAAATGGGGGCAATGGTGCAAGCAGTTAGTAATTTGCACTGTACTCTGGAAGTGCAGAGTTCAACCTCATATGGAGCGTAAAATTTTTCTTATTAAATATTAATTCCCTTGAGCAAGGATTTCACCCACTGGTAAATTTATCCAAGAAATTTACCTAATTCAACCAGCCGGAAAGCGGGTAGCATGTCGCTGATCTGCGAATAATAAGAACAGTCTGGTGTTTTGATGTGGTCATGATAAAGCGCGCTTGATATGCGGTCATGCTGTCTGATGCTTGCGTTTTCAGGCTACAGTTTGCCTTAATAACCCAGAATGCTAACTAAAAATTAGCACAAGGCGTAAACGCAAATTAAAATTTTAAGGAATTTAAATTTTTAACCCTGTTTTTGAAACAATACCTTGTCGAAAAATGTAGAAAATCTTAAAATGCGATGACACCCATGACCAAATCGTTTCTATTCTGTATTTTTTAAATTTAAATATAGTTTCCACCTTACATTGACTTTTAGTCAGCTATCAGCTGGAGTCATGCGAATTTCAGCCTTAAAGATACGTTTCAGACAGTATAGCCGAAAGTATCACACGCAGTGATACGACCACACTATATCGCGTTATTCATCATGTTCACAAGTCAATGACCTGCTATCAATGCGGCAATAGGTCCCCCTTCCCCTTAAACACTCTGAGGTGAATTTCTTGCCAACGGAAACTAGCGGCTAATAACAGAAACTTTAGGGCGCGCTGGGATTCAAACCGGAAATCTCTAAAACTCAAACTAGTGCATACCAATCGGTCGATATATGAGCTTGAAATAAGAGTTTTCGAAACAACGCACCTACGCTAATTCATACCCATTTTTTTAATTTACTAACATTCTTTTGAAATTATTATCTAATATTATTATTTCACTGCGAAGAACCAACTTTGTCCGAGCGATCGTTTTCTAATTAACGAACACGGAGGAATAAAGCAATATGCTGCACATAAAAAATGCTAGGCGGATTCATTTATCTCAGCGTTCTCGTTGTTTGTTACAATCATCACCTTGAGCCTTTTACACATTTTTTCCGGGTCAGGCAACTGCATGAAATGAAGTTATTCACAGTCTCATAAATAGTGCTTAGGACAAGCTGTTATCGAAATATGCTCATGATTTTCATTGTCTTGTGAGTGCAGCGAAAGACGTTCAAAAGATATCGTGTAACTGAAAGCATACGCAAGATTCAATTAGATAGACACTGATCATGTTCAGGACATGTCATTATCTGAGGGTGAACAAATGATAAATGAAAAATTTTCAGTGGCTGGAGAAAAGTCATCAGACAAAGCGCATGACTAGCTGAATGAATCATGAAAACGCTGAACAAAAACATTCAAAATTCTTACATGTATGGGGGACAGCTACACAAATTTTTGACGCAACTGACTCAAATTCAGGGTGGAATAGAGCACGAAAGGGGCAAATTCCTGAAGTCATTATGTACACTCAAAAGCTGTATGACCGGAAACGAAAGGCTGTAGTACAAAGTTTCATTTTAATAATCCTCAACCTGAATTTCCGCAGTTCAGGCGGCAGCCTCAAGTTTAAATACTGAAAACATAGCCCCAAAAAAAAGTTGGTTATGGGACTGTCTTCCAATGACAAAAGATGATTCTGTAAAATTTTATCAGCACCGCTACATTTACCATTATCAAGGAACTGATGCATTACCAATTACAACCATCATTTCTTTTACTTCACCTAGGGGTATCAACTTGTTTTGGTCAGTGTTCACAACTTTAACTTTCTTTGTTAAATTTGT